CCCTTCCTTGACTAATCTTCCTTCATGAACCCCCTCTTCCAAGCGCATTCCCATGTTTACCATTTCGGTGAATTCACCGGGTGCACTTGCTACCATTTTCTCATAAAAGAAAGGACCCAGAGTCTTTAGGAAAATCTTGGTCATTTCCTTTTCTTCTAATGGCGGTATGACTTGAGCGGCTAAATCGCGCCAACGCTGAGCATATTCCTTGAAATTCTCTTTGCCTTCTTGGGCCATGGCCCTCAACTGATCACGGCCAGGAGCCATGTCCATGTTATATTTGTATTGCTTGATGAAGGCTCCACCCAGATCATTGAAAGTTCGAATCTTCGCACTATCCAATCCCATATACCACCTGAGTGTAGCGCCTGTTAAACTATCTTGGAAATAGTGAATGAGCAATTGATCATTGTCAGTTTGTGCAGACATCTTTCTGACATACATGATAAGATTACTTTGAGGACAGGTATTCCTCTTATACTTCTCAAAATCAGGAACCTTGAATTTCGGCGGGACCTTGACATTCAGAACCAAACACAAGTTGGAAGTACTTTTGCCGAACAGTTCCTTTCCACGAATGGCTTTCAATTCTTTATGGATTTCGAAAAAATGGTCTTGAAATCCATCCATCCTCTCTTTAAAACCCACAGTTTCACTGGGTGTCCCATGGAAAATTGGCCCGTCCAAAGTATACGGGGTAACATTCACACGCGGAGGTGCGGTAGTCCTTACAGCTGTAGTGGCAGGAACGGCTTGAACAGTGGTCACGACAAGAACCTCAGGAACAGGCGGGCGATAACCAGCCAGAGTGAAATGAGAAGGCATCCCCCACGGAAAACCTGGTGGAATGCTGTAGGTCACTTCGGCAATAGTAGGCACCACTGGGATCGGTGCTGACACAACTTCGGAGATAACAGTCCTTTGAACGTCTTGATTATTGAGTGCAGACTGGTTGGACAGAGCTTCGACTAAACAATTCAACCTTTCCAAATTTTCCTTTAGGATTGCAACTTCGTCACGGAGCACTCTGTTCTCTTGTTCCAATTGATCCATCTTTTGGCGTCGACTGGCTCGAGTGTGGTACTGGTGATTCAGCTTGTCTGTGAAGATGAAGCAAGAATGAGACCCCCCCGAAATGCAAAGGATGTTATGCTGATGCAAAATGTGAAATGCAAATGCAAGAATGCAAGATGAAAGGTTTCATGTAACTCAAGTATTTATAAACGTCACAGAGTATCCAAAGAAAACTCGTTTATCATTTTTTGATATCGATTACAAATGAAAATTCTCATAAGAGTCCTGACCTAATAGCTAAATAAAAGCTAATAAAGTCCTAAGGAAGTCCTTCATCGTGCTTGTTGATTTACTCCTCTATCTAGACTTCCTCGAATATAAGTTCGTCCATGATCAACACTCAAGGAGTAGTGTGATAGAGGAAAATAAATCCTCTATCTCTCTTCTTTTCTTACTAGTAAGGAAGGAAGAAAGACCTTGTTTACTTCGATCTTCAATATTGATGAAAGTCTTTTGAACTTCTATCGGTCTTCAATGATAAGGGAAGCCTCTTGTATTTGTCTTTTGAGTTTTTTTGATTCTTCAATTAGTACCCTTACCTTCCTTAGGTCATCCAAGCTAGGACTCTTAAAAGAATATTTCAAAATATTTTTCTTTTGTAATCCCTATTGGTTCTACAATGTTTATAAATAAACTAGAGATCCCATGAAACCAACACAATATGATGCTTTATTGATGCAACAAACACAAGTAAGCACATAGAGACATAAAGATAAACAAACAAGGGAGACCCTAGGTTTGCAACGAGCATGGAGCAAAGGTATACCCATTCCCAAAGGATGTGGACTAAAGGTTGATTGTACCTGCAGAACAAGGTTCTAAGAAGGTCCCAAAGTCATCAGTCCATCTTTCGGATATTATCAATTTCCCGACTAACTCGATGGTTAATAATATTCTCAAGATAACTTCTTTTGAGTGTAGCATCGTATAGCACTATTTCGGGACTACTCCCTCATAGCCTCGTACTACGTCCTAATAAAGGCCAAAGTAGGGTTAAAGGTAACTACAGTCCTTAGCATCATGGACTCCAACCGAAAATAGTAAAAGTTTTCACGACTAAACTCGTTCAACCGAACCATTTTCAAAAGGGTCTCAACTAAGCGGGATTCTCGAGTCAGCTTGGTCGGGACTCACTCCCGATAAGCCTCGTCGAATATATCACCATCCTATCATAATTTCTCTCGAGTTTGGGTGTAGGACTTTGTCTCACCACTCAAATATCATCCCAAGAAGCAGTAACAATTAAACAATTATACAAATAAACAGATAATCAAACATAACAATAAGCAAGTAAAATAAACAAGTTAGGGAAACCCACAAATGTCCCCAGTGAAGTCGCCATTTCTGTCGTGGTGAAATTTGGATACCAAGCTATTGATGAACTTGAATCTAATTCATTTGCAACCGAACTTTGATTTGTCTAAAGGAAGGGATAAAGATCGAAATTCCCATAATGCAATGCAAATGCAAGCTAGAGAGTTATAGGTTCGGGGGTTGGTTAAACTTAGGGAAGGTTCTAGCATCCTAAGTTTCTGTAGTACTCTACAGGAACCTCTTGTTTTATGTTGTTTATTGCTAAGGGTTATCTGCTTAAGGATAAAAGACCTAGGGGTTTATTTCTAAGTATACTCAATAAGATATCGCATCTTATGCCTACATATCCTTACGGGAGTGGAATCAGAGTATCTGTAGTTCCCCTAAAGGGTTTGAGGAGTTCTTTGACTGTGGTCAAAGTTCCTACGGGTTCTGGGTAGTTGATTGATTGATTTTAGGAGAAAAGACGAGTTGTCATTTTAAGGGAGATTACTTTGATTTAACTGCGACAACTTTGTAGGAAAATGGTCTTTGCATCGTCTTAAGAGAAGGGCTCAAGCACTCGGAATTTAATCGACAAGTATGCCACTATCTCTCTTAAGGCAAAGTCCCTACATATTGATTGAATTGTTATGGGGTAGGAGTTTTATCTCGCTTAAGATGATTAACATCTTATTCTCTAATATGTTTGAAAGAGTTTGAAATGAGTTAAATTGTTTTGTCATCTAAGTTGTAAAGATAAAACAAAGGTCCTTCCTATGGGTAGGATCTATCTTAAAAGATCAACTTGAGGGATCAAGGATCAAAATATGGAATTAAGATGAGATGCAATACACACAAGTGTTAAGTCATGTGTAGGTTCTTCCTTTGGGCGGATGCAATACAGTAAAGTAAATGCGGAAATGATAAATCCATACACCAACGCATGAAAGTGCTAAGTGAGTGCAAATGGGGTGCATGAACGGAGAGAGGCGTAAGCGTGCACAATTGAGTAAGATTGATTTTAGGGGGGATTGATTTTAGAGGAATGTTGAATTTTTATTAGCTTTAGATAAAAGTGTGTGAATAAGATTTTAAAAGTAATTTAGTGAAATAAAAAGATTAATTAAGTTTGGATAGAAATATTTCTAAGTTACTTATTATATAAATTGGTTATGAATTAATTCAGATGGAAATAAATTTCAAATAAGGAGCTACTAAATAAATTGTTGATTATTACTTAAAAAGTAGTTTTCTTACTAATTATCAAGTAGATCTTGAGTTATTATTAAAAAGGTTTTATTAATATCATCATAAAAAGTTAATTTAGATTAAAAGGTTGTTTATTATTTATTTTTTTTATAAAAAAAGGATAAACAAATTGATATATTATCATTTATTAAAAAAAAAGGGCACTAAGTTTATGTTAAATAAAAGGTCATTAGTTTAATTTTAAAAAAGATGGTTGATTAAGATTTAAAACTGATTAGTGGAGTTAATGGTTTAATTAAGGGTTTAATGAAAGGTTTAGTGAGGCGTACGAATCGCGTGTGGGGCGTAGAGAGAGATCTACCATGGGCGGCAATGTGGACCGTGCAATATGGATTCGTTGGAGATCCATGGTTTGTGTGTGAGAGTGCATAGGATTATGGTGTACATGAGTGTACATGATTACAACAGATAACAAAATGAAAAATAAACCCTAATCCCCCCCAATTTCCCCTCTTTCTCCGATCTCCTCTTCGTCTCTCGTTCCCCTTCTTCTGTCGTCTTCGTACCTCGTTTCATCTTCCTCGTTCTCCTCTCGCGCTCTTTACCTGCCATTTCTTACCAAATCGTAACTGAAAAACAAAACACAAATTAGTCAATAAAAAATCACCATTAACAAATCGAACTTACGGTGGTGAATGGGTTTTTCTTGCAGATCCGGTTGGAATTTGACGGCGGAATGGAAGTGGCGAGGACTTGAGGATTTCGCCGGAAGCTTAGCGATTCCCGGCGTCGGTGGGTTCAAGATGATATCCAGTGGCTCGCAAAAGGTGTTTCGCGGTAATGAAGATAAGTATTCCTCTTTCTGTATTTAGGGTTTTTCGAAATTGGGATTTCCTATAGGGTTTGATTGTGAATTGGTGATCATGTATTGTTTTTTGGATGTGATTTCTCTACGAGTGTTGTGGATTTTCCTTCAGCTAGGGTTTTGGAGTGAATTTCTTCTATCCTCTTTATTCCGAATTTTCTCCTCTTTTTATAATGTCTTGGAGGAATTTCGACTTGAATAATGGTGATTTCCTATTCTATCAAAATTTGTTTTGGAAATACTTTGAATGCCTTGATTTCTTGTTGTTTCTGATTTGGCAATAATTAATTCACATTTCCTTCTGATCTGGCAGGTATCGAATGTGCCCTGAATCACGAAGTCTTGGACCTCAGCTTCCCTGCTGACTCTTGCCTTGTTCTTCACTGAGTATGTAGGTTCCGTTGGAGTGATTTGTATACTTGACAACTACTTTGGAGCTACTTGGAGAAATGGCACATTTTCTTGAAAGATAAACTCACAAATCTTGAAAATCTGTTGACTGCACTGAATTTTGTCTTTCCACAACACGGCCAAACCGCCACTCCTACCTTCCACATCAACGGTTAAAGCACACATCAAATTTCAGTAACACTCTAATACCCTCTAACTTCTGGGCCTTAGCTAGCGTCTCCAAAAGAAACAAAACATCAGGCTGGTGTTGTTGAGCTAGTTTTCGCAGATGCAGAATTGCTCTCGGGTTGCTCAAGCCTCGACAATTCCAACTGAGTATTTTCATTTTCCCGATAGTCCTGAATGCCAGAACTTGCCAATAAAAATACTGATTTATAACTTGAGTTTCACTGACTTGTCCTTTGGTATGTTCTCTTCTCCTCTTATGTTCCATTTGTGATTCACTATCCTCATGCTCCTTTGCAGGTGCTTCAGCTGTCTTGAAGTTGATGGAAGTAACAGGCACTGGTTTATGTTGGTATTGGTTAATTTGCTTCAGGTCAAGGTTGTTGGACATTCTGTTATGGTTACCATGGATGTGCTTCAAGTGCAGATTTTTTGGTTTTGAATTTGTAAGGCTTCGGATTAAGTGTTGTAGGTTTAAAAGTATGTGAAGGATTGGACATAATTGAAGTATGTGTGGAAATGGATGTGGGTTGGCTTAGATCATAACATTTCACCTTGTTACTGATTTTTGTAAGACTAGATTGGATAAGTGTAATTGACTCATATTCATGCATGTTGGATGATTTATGATTAGTTAATGGTTTATTCAGTTTTAATAACACTGCCTTATGATTGCAGGATGTTGGAGCTTTATGCGACCTCAATGGCTTAAGTCAAAGCTTTAAAGAGCACAAAAAGGAACTGCCCCGTGGTGTCCAACTCCCTTATGAACAAGAAACGGTGGGGCAAAGCCTCGAAGCCTCACTTCCTCACAATTAAGGATATTTGGAAGGAGTCTTCAAAGTTGGGTTCGGCACAACTGAGGGAGTTTTCCATCCATTTAATTATGCTCAACTCTCTGTTTAATTTCCCTAACTGAAGTAGGTCCGACATAACTCTTACCAGGTTGGCGACTCAAGACAGTGCTGTAAATCAAGTTGGATACGCGAATAAAACTTCACAGGTGTACGTATGGTGTTAAAATAGGGCACTGCAAATCAAACTGGAGAAGAGTTTTAGCAGCAGTAACGAAGAGGCCGTAGCTATTCTGAAATGGTTTGCAAACAACAATTGCATTCGGCAGGGTGGATTGCTCCTGGTCATACTAGCTTTCACGAGTCCTTAGATTCCTTCCTTGAATTCCTTTCTAAATATTCTCAAGTATGTTGGTGGACTAGTGTCGGTTTTTATTCAACGCTGATATTGGCTATCTGCATGATTTCTTGATAATTGACTTTAAATTCAGTTGCTTTCAGCGTGAAACAACAGGGGGCGGTGCATCCAATGGTGTTGGACTCCTCGGCGAGAAATTCCATGCCCAAATTGGTCGCGGACAGTCTGTTCTTTACCGGTGACATTGTGAGTAGCTAAAGATGGGTAAAGTTGCAGAATATTGTGATCGAATACGAGTACCAAGATCATTTATTTTCCGAGTATTGTAAAGATGCAGTCAACCTTAGTGATGACGCTCCGGCAATGGCAACAATGTTCAAAGCATGTCTTTTCTTCCCGGTTTACATGTAATTTTAATGAACACATTACTATAACGGCGATAATGTTCTTCAATAAAACATGCCTTATTCTGTCGGTTTACCTGTACCATACTACTGCAATTGCCTTTAAATTTCATTGACCATTAATTTAAATCCTTGTAGACATACAATAACCATTTATTTTTAAATGAAACTTGCTGCATGAATATGTATGATGTACTGGAATTTGAGCACTAACACTTCGAACAATCCAAATGAATCCTCTTTCCACATGAGCTCAGTTTTCCCCAATTGATTCAAACCACTCGAACTCAAAACGAGCCATTCGTACTCAAAACAAAAAGAATCGAACTTTCATGCCATGGGGAATCCCTAAACCAAGCCCTGGCACTCTGTCAAATACTAAAATAGAAATATACTTGAATGAATACTTTAGTCTCAAATTCAAACTTGTGATATAGCGTCTCGGTCTTAGTGGTATCCCGAAGGAATGTACTCATGAAGGTGGTGCATCAAACCTCTCGTGTCCTCGATAATAACTTACAACAAAATCTTAATCCATAAACCACTGAAGCCTGATCTTGATTTTAATGAGATATAGCTGGAAAGCGCATCCAAAGAATATCTTTGGTGTATTGATCCAATAATAGCTCAAGAGTGAAAGAAATGTTAATAATAACAATATAATATTAGTAATAATAATAATAATAACAATAAATATAAAGATAATAAATAAAAACAATAATAAATATAGTGATAAAAACCTAGAACCGGAGCCCCGACCAAGCAGAGACCTTAAGACAACCTTAAGTCAGGATTACTTGGTCATGCCTTAAATTGTTCGACTACGGGAACAAATATCAACTCTACTCGAAATTTCTGCATCTGTAAAAGTTGGTTAGTTGCAAAAACATTAATATTAAAATAAAGTCAAATAACAATATAAAATGCACAAAAAAAAGAGGTGGCATCTTACGGTCAAAAATTAGGGTGCGACAATGAGTAAGCTTGAAATTCAATTCCTTGGATTTTGGTATGGGCTGTTAGAGGCTGAGTTTGGGCTCAAATATCATCAAGATCCATTGCATAAAAGGTTTTGAACCTTCACAATTCATCAGAAGTGGAAATTGGAGCCAAATTGAGCAAGTTCAGTTTTGAAAAAGTGTGGAAAATTCAAATTTCGAATCTGGAGATTGAGGACATTTCAAGCAAAATTGTGAATTGAGAAAGCTTTATTGGAGATCCTTGAACGATTCTGGGCAATTATCTTCAAGCTTGAGCTCCATTTGAAGGCTCAGTGGAAGTTCTCCACTAGGTAATTGAAATTCAACTTTGCACTCTTGTTAAGCATCAATTCACTGCCGTTTTTGCATACTTGAGACGTAGGATCAATGTAGATCATTAATGTGTAAAATGAACTGGCATTGGTTGTGATTGTTGGATGATGCTTAAAAATGTTTGGATCTGTTTTGGCTTGTTTATGCATGATCTTGCTTGTTTGACACTTGATCTGTAACCTATGTGAGCTCTAGATGAGTTTTAGATCAAATTGAAGTTGTTTTCATGAACTTTTGGATTTTGATGTTCAACCTTGTTGGCTTCGGGTTTGGAGTTTCACGCATAATTAATGGTTTTTGAGGCCAGAATTGAGATCCTCTTGATCTCTAGATGAAATTTGATATAAATTTCACGCGTTTTGGTTGAGTTTTGAGGTATGTGTTGTTGCTGGTTCAGTTCACGGTGGAGCTTGGTCGGAGAAGATGATGAATAGTAACTCCGGCCAGCTGGTTTTGTTTTAGGTTTGCTGGAGGTAGGGGACGGTGAGGTGTCCTTGTATGGTTCATTTGATTGGATGACTTTTGATCCCAACGGATGAGGTTAAGACCTACAGTGGTCTGCGTTTGACTGAAACCATGGGATAGCATTTGAATTCTCATTTATTCGTTGGCATGATTTCAACCACATGATTGTTTACTTTTTGATCAGATGGATATGATTGAGTCCTCATGATGCACTGCATTTGACTTATCACACGCAACTACCAGTTTTGTTTTGTTTTTTTTCTGTTGGGCCTTAAGCGCCTTTGCTAAGCGCACCCCCCAGACTGGGCCCAATCCATTCTGAACTTGAATTCCTTTCTATTTGCCATGCACATTTCCTATTTTCATGTTATTTCTTTTGTTTTTTTATTTTGTTTTTTGTGTTTACAATTTTAATTAATTAAAATAGCTCCAATACATTAAAAATTCACCAAAAATATTTTTTATCAACTTTGAGATGTCTACTTTTTTTGTGTGGATATTTTATTTTATTTTTCCATTTTATTTTCAATTAAAAAATGAATTAAGTATTTGAGTTGTTTTAATTGAATTGAATTGTAACATGGTGTGCTTTTGCATTTGTTTTTCTCATTCCTTTTTGATCCAATGTTGAAAATTGATCCTCATCTTAATGATGAGTTGATCAATTTTAGAGGACCATTTTGCCCCTGGTTGTTGACTTTTGGGTTGACTTTTGTGGCTTTTCTTCTTGCCTTTGTTTCTTCCATTTCAAAGTGGTACATCTAAATGAATCCCTTCTTTTGATGGTGCTTTAAGAGGACATTTGTCTTGATTTCTTGGCCTCTGGTTGCCAACATGTTTATCTTCTTTGTGTATTTTATTTGATTTTTTTATAGTCTTTTTCCTATTTTTGAAGTGACTTGCAAGTTAGGTCATCTCATAGGACAACTCACACAAGTGCTTGACCTAGTTTGTATTGGAAATGACCTTTGTGGATCCAATAAGCTCTCAACTCTTCTTGTTTCACATTTTAGACATGTTGAGCTTGCTGTATGTTCATTTTTAGGTCAATTATGTTTATAGCTTATTGTTTGATGCCTTTCTTTTTGTGCTTCCAACTTGAACTCCTATGTGATACATGTTTGTTTCCCTTGTGCTTTTGCTTGCATTTATTTTTTTCTTGCTTTGATATTGATTGTGAGCTCTCTTCTCTTCATATCCCTTCTGTCCAATGACCTTGGAGTGTCATTTAAGGTGGCTTGGTCCCTCCTTTGGAGGTATTTGGAGCATACCTAGAATGATGAATCCTTGAGGACACTTTTGGTGTTTCTTTGTGTTTGATAAGTGATGCTTGTGGTTGAGTACCTATTATGGGGTCCTTGCTTCCCTCATTTGGTCTCCCATCCTCACTTGGCTTTGAGTTTTGTTTACCTTTCATTTAGTTTGTTTTTATTGTTGTGGTTGATGTTGTTTGACTTAGGTCATTTCATCCCACTTTTTGGTGCATCTTTGTGTGGTTTGTTTGTGTTTGTTTAAGTTCTTCTTGTGCACTTCTACTTCTTCTCTTTTCTTGCATTTCCATATGAATTCTTGGTTGAGATGATCTTGTGGTGGCTACTGCCCCACACTATTTTCCTCCCACTATCATTCTACTTGTGCATCTTATGTGTGTATCTTCATTTGCATATGCATTCTTCTTCTTCTTCTTCTTCTTCTTCTTCTTCTTCTTCTTCTTTAGCTTTTCTTTGCCATGCTCCTCATAAGTTCTCTAACCTCTTGAAGTTATGATAGACATTAGGTGCCTAACTATGCATGATAACATTAGGTAGTTCCCTTTTCAAACTCAA